CCAGGGCGACGTGTCTCTCGATCAGCGTCTCCGCAAATCCGAGTCCGCCTTTTCAACCTTACCCTCTTCATCAATCTGTTTACCTATTTTACATATCTACCTCTGACCATTTACCCCTTCCGAGTTGCGCTTTGAAAATAATTCCAAGTGCGCCGGCGACCGAACCGCAATGTTCCTTTAGACTACCGAAAACAATCTAGTCCTCGAATCGAGTCTCCTTTCCAGCCGACTGACATTCGATACATATTCAACAGTAGACCCGAAATGTCTGCCAAAACCTCTCCAGAATCCGGGGACCCCAGCCCTGACCAGACGTCCGGTTCCACCTCTGCCTCGAATAGCAACGGTTCATCCACTCCGAACGATGTCGAGATGAAGAGCTTGCGCCCTGATCCCCCCAAAGGTTCAATTCCTCTGGGGGAGGATATTATGCAGTTGGCTCGGATGGGGGAGATTGGCACTATGCAGAAACTGTTCACGGCCAAAAAGTTCACCGCGAACCACCGCGACGAGGAGGGGATCACACCGCTGCATGTTCGTAAAAACCCAGCGCAACATATAACAAGGGCTCTGTTTACTGACCGCATTCTCTTTTTCTAGTGGGCGGCAATCAACAATCAATATGCGATGTGTAGATTCCTGATCGACTCCGGAGCCGACGTCAACGCCAAAGGAGGAGAATCGGTGGCAACACCAGCCATGTGGGCTGCCCAACGGTGTCATTATTATATTGTAAACTTACTGCTCCAGAATGGAGCGGATCCTCTTCTGACGGACGTCCAAGGATACAATATCCTACACCTTGCGACCATCGATGGCAACGCTTTCCTACTCGTGCTGCTTCTACACCAGGAGATCCCCGTGGACGTTGTTGACCAACAAGGGCATACTGGGCTGATGTGGGCTGCGTACAAGGGGTATCCTGCATGTGTGGACTTGTTCCTACGATGGGGTGCCAATGCAAACGCCGTGGACGAAGGTGGCTTGACACCGCTTCATTGGGCGCTGGTTAAGGGCTCAATGCCCTGTGTCCTGAAGTTGCTTGAATATGGCACCGACCGTTTTGCAAAGACCCGCGATGGAAAATCTCCTGCGACTGTGGCTCAGGAGATGAACACTCTGCGGATTTGGTACCGCTCGCTCAACGAACGCGGCTTTGAACCTGATGGCACCCAAAAAGTGGTGCCTCTGGGCCTTTCAAGCTTCGTACGCAACAAGAGCATGATGACCAAGTTCTTCTTCCTCTGGCCTTTCTTGATTATCCTGGTTGCCATCTGGATGCTCAGTAACCTGGCGATCTTCGTTGCTGTGCCCCTCGTGTTAGTGACAGTCTTCGGGATGCAGTATGTCGCACAACAATTTGCGAACAAGGGGCCTATGGAATATCGCGTTCTGCAGAAAACACCGTATCTAGCTGGTGTCTTTGCAGGCACGTTGTTCTGGGTTGGCTTCCGCTATGTTTTCAAGGTGCTGCCGGCAACTTACTCATCGTCGCCGATTCTGAACATCTTGTTCGCGGTCTTCTTTTGCTCGACTTCTTATTTCTACATCTTTTCCATGGTCCAGGATCCCGGCTACGTTCCGAAAGTGACCAGCAGGAATCAGCAGAGAGAGATTGTTAAGGAACTGTTCGACCAGTGGAAGTTCGACGAAGAGAATTTCTGCATTCCATGTATGACAAGGAAGCCCCTCCGGAGCAGACACTGTCGACGTTGTGGGCGCTGCGTTGCAAAACACGATCAGTATGTGCCATGATAATATTTCTATTGATCTGATCACTAATGCTCAAATAGCCATTGCCCGTGGATTCATAACTGCGTCGGATCGAACAATCTCCGCCATTTTGTTCTTTATATAATCTCCCTCGAAGTTGGCATCATTATGTTTGTGCAGCTAACTATTGCCTGTGAGTACTAGTGGCAAGGGAAAATATTGCCTAGGATCAGTCAACTAACAGGATGCAGACATCAATTCTCTACCCGCTCCTACCAATGCCACCTGCAATGTCATCAACGACACATTGTGTGACTATGCCTCTCGCGACCCCTTCACCCTGATTCTTAATGTGTGGATCACTCTCCAGCTGGTCTGGGTCACCATGCTGTGTGCTGTCCAGCTCGTCCAGATCTCTCGCAACCAGACAACCTACGAGAACATGCGAGGCCACCACATCGACCGATCCTACCCAAGCTCCCAAGCCTTTGCCTCGGCCATGACTGCCGGGACCACGTCAATGGAAGCTGCTGGTCTTTCGGCCTCCGGACAAGGACCCAACCCGGCCCTTCGCGGCCCTCCCCCACACCGACGCAAAACCGGCTGCATCAAGCAATGGTCATCTCTCCTCGGAATCGACGCTTTTTGGACAACCGCCAAGGACGGTCTCCGCGACGGACCTCAGACGGCCCGGCCCCGAAACCCCTTCTCCCGCGGTGTCGTCACCAACTGCCGCGACTTTTGGTGTGACCCGGCTCCGCTCTTTGGCAAGCGCCAGACTGGGGCGGCGATGCTCGGCGGCGAGGTGATCAACTATCACGATATGTATGAAACCCCAATGCGCATGCACACTGGCAACCGGTCCAGTGACGGACCTGGTTACCGCAGCGTTGCTAGCGAGGACCCCGAACGCATGGTGTAAGGTGATCCGAGATCTGAGCGTATTTGCATTTGTTGTTTTTTTTCCAGATCCTGCATTGATATCCTTCTACTCTGTGTTTTTATTATGCAAATCAGCGCGGTGTTGCATTATTGGGGCACGTGGCACGAGCAAATGTTTGCATTTTGCATTTAGAAGGAACCTGTACAGTTGACGTCAGACATTAATGATTTATTTTACTATAATATTATGGGAGATGACTCTTGGACAACAACAGGAACAAGGAAGTCCTTGACTCTAGTGCCTGTCCGGTATATATGACAACCCACTTACTGTCCAAGGCTCTTTACCTACATAGGTAACCTCGAATTCCCGCATTTTCACACGCGCATCAGATAAGATATATGGTTTCCCTTGGCCATGCAGTGGCTCTGCAGCTAACCACCAACACGCTGCATAAGGGCCGAGTTCCGACTTTCCATCGGTGTTTCTGGAAAGATACCTATCTAGGGAGGGCAGTCCTATCCCATCCGAAAGGGCCGATTGGTGCGTCCAACTGGGCCTAGGTCTAGGTACATATGTACATATGTAATGACCGGGGTTACGCTTTACATTACGCATTACGCGAGCATAAGACGTACCTGCATGGGAGCTCTGGGGGTGCATATGCCAGCGCACACGACCTAGGTACTTCTGCAGCTTGAGATCCTGGCACGGGGATGACGGCAGTAGTGACTCCGGATGTGCAACCTTGGTTGCCGGGCTGCAGCCTTTCAGGGAAAAGGAATGTTTGATCGCCGAAGGTCCAGTGTGGCCTGATCTCGTTCTGGACTTTCTAATATTGTAGCGGTCAACGATTACAAGTTAGGTTGCCAACGATTTCTTGGCTGATTACTAGCACTGTATGCAACATAGTGTGCTAGGGCTGTCACCTCCCTAAACTTGCCTAGAGACATACAGAACAGGCAATATATACAATGTTAGTACATGATATAGGGTCCATCCAACGGCTTTCAATACTGGAGCCGGAAACAGGTCCGAATTACAGAACCCCAATCTGACACCTACCGAGGTACTCCGTAGGGAAACGAACCACAAGACATCAGATAAGTACATACGGAGCAGCAGTTTCCACTCTGGGTACATCCGATATCGCCGAAGAGAACGCCGAAACTCAGTTGGAAATAGGAGATCTAATCTCTCGGGTACCGGCCCAGCCTCTGGACCTATGGGGACAAACACGAGCCATGTGCATGGATGTTACGGGACTTTGGCAGAATACAGTCTGTACTATACGAAACTAGACAATTTATGCTAATTTCTTCAAGGGAAAGGGATGCAGGATCTACTCCGTTTACTATAATTATCTTTTTATATATTTCAGATTGTCCATCGTACGATGCATAGTATGGAAGCGCGGTTTCCGAATAAAATTACAGATTTAAGATTTACAAATTTACAAGTTTAAAAAATACCGAGCCATAACAGTGCGTATGCGGGCTCCATCTCGCTAAAGACTCGACTAGGCAGGTGATGGAGCTCCAGGAAGCCACTTTTACTTAGTGCGGAATTGGGGAACTACGAATTGTATGGAGAAAAGAAAAGTTACGGTCAAGCCCAATGCAATTGGAAAAAGCAATGTATTAACATGAATACCAAAGAAAAAAGAAAAGAAAAGAAAAGAAAAAAGCAAAAGCCGCCAAGTCCCCCCAAGTCAACCTTGGAAGTCGATCAGATAAAAAATTTCGAGTTATCTGATCCATGCAGGACCCACTTGCCTTTATCTGATTTGATGTGATTCTTCACAATGGGATGGTTTGGGGAAATACCTACATATGTAGGTAAGTCAGAGAAGCAAATTGATAACCTATATTGTATATGGTATAAGAGTAGAAAATTATCACAGCATACTAGTAACAGGCAGACATCTAGAATTAGGATCGACATCGATCAGCAGCTTGACAAGTTTCGCGCGATTTTTTTTTAGATTTCAATTTTCTAATGTCCCGCACTTGCCAAGGAACCTTAGAAAGTGACTTCTGTTTTTTTTTTTTACCGTACAACTTCCGATCGGACGATTCTACGTACTCCACTTAGGAGGTCGGGGACACCTGGACACACTTCGGTACTTAAGATTATCCTAAGATCTGGGCCGATCGGTAGTCTTGTAGACTTGAGAGAGGAAAAAAAGGAATTTAAGAAATATGGTAAACAAGCTCATCATTAACGCGAACAGAGAGAGAGAAAAAAAAATCTAAATACACATGTCTAAATGTTGAACAGAATAGCGAAGGGGAATCATCGAGAGCTATCTCGGACATATTTTCAAAATCTCGGCCCACTTCCCAAACCATGGAAGTAAACCCGAGACACGAAACGAGGATGTCACATTTTGTTTCACACCTTTTCACAGCATAGCACGCACCCGGGTGTCCTGCACCAAGGGAGCACCAGCCAGCTGATCCGCAAATACGGAGCTCACAATCTCGCCGCCCCGCACAGCCAGCACCGACAGCAAAGAATCACTCAGACCGTGGGTCTGCTCGTTGCAACCCTGCAGCCAGATACCAGCCTGGGTACTGACCTTGGCACCGTCGAGCGAAACACGGTAATCCCGGCTGGGGTTCCAGCCTGACGCGCCGGCGGGCCGCAAGCTGCGCACGTTCTGAAGGAGTTCTTCATGCGCGTCGCGGAGGTAGCCCGTTGCGACCATCAGCGCATCGACATCCAACACTTCCTTGCCTTCGCTCTCATTCTTGACCGACTTGACGTGGATGCGCATGCGGTTTGATGGGTCGTGGTGCTCGATCCGGGCGATCTTGGTCTCTGCAAGGATGCGCTGTTGCCATTGTGTCTCGTCCGGGTTCTCCACTCGCTGCAGGTACATGTCGTTGTAGATGGACTCGATCAGCTCCAGACGAACCACGCTGTAGTTGGTGGCTTTTTCGGTAGCGATGCGCTTCTTGCGTTCTTCGGCGCTCATCTCGTAGAACTTGTCTACGCGCTCGGGGTTGAAGATTTCGTTCACACTAGAAAGGGTGAAAAAAAGAAAGGTTAGCCTTGGGTTATGGTACGGGCTCCGCAATTATTCTTTTTGAGGAAACGTACAAGGGCGAGTCATCACTAGGACGCAGAGCGGTATCACGGAGGATGAGGGTGGTGCGCGAGTTGGGGTAACGGCGGTGCAAATCGTGGTAGATCTCAGCGGCACTTTGGCCACTGCCGACGACGGCAATATTGTAAGGGGCCATCTCATCATTCAGCATTTGGGGCAGGTGAGTGCAGTACTTGGAGGAGTGCATGATGCGGGGATCCTGGGGGAAACCAGGAGGCATCTTAGCCTTACCACCGAGCGCAATGACGACCTTGCGGGAGTTGCGGGAGGAAATCTCGCCAGTACCAGTGTTGCGCGAGACTACGGTGAAGAAGTCGACAACACCACGGGCATTGGTGGGACCGGGACAACCTCGACAACCTCCTCGCCGTAGTTGACAACATTATCAAAGCGCAGGGCACACCAGCGCATGTAATCCTCGAACTCAACACGGGCGGGTAGGAAAGTGCCCAAATTGGTGAAGTGGATGAGACGCTTCTTGTGGTGTAGGTAATTGAGGAAAGTAAAGCTGCTGCGGGGATCGCGCATAGTAGCAAGATCCTTCATGAAGGAGATCTGCATACGCGAGCCCGGGACCAGCATACCGGAGTGCCAGGCGAACTGGTTCTGCTTCTCCAGGAAGCAAACCTTGGGTTTGAAGTTGAGGTCCTTCGAGGCACCGAGGGTGGGGTCCATAGCATCGTTCAGAGCAATGGCAACGGCGAGCGAAGCTGGGCCGAATCCAACACAGAGCAGATCGTGCATCTCGTCAGCACCAGTGGGTCGCAACAGCGACCGACCTGACTGGGGTTGGGTGCGTGGCACCATGTCGTTGAGGAAGGAGAGCTCCGACTTGCGGGTAACTGGCTCCATGACGATTCAAGAGATTTAAGGTGAAAGGTAGAAGGTTAAAAAAAAGGGTATGTATATACAGCCGAAAAGGGAAATCCAAGAGCTTCAGGGGAGAGCTTCCAAGGTTCAAATCCTCCAAGGAAGAAAGAAAAAAAGCAGGGAAAAAGGCTTTATATGATTCTCCGGAGAAGAAACGGATCAGATAACTTGACCAAGTGGATCCCCTTGAAGGTCTCTGAAGCCCTCGCTTGAGCTTTTTGCCAAGTTTCCCGTATTTTCCCTGGTTCGGGTGTTTTTTTTCAGTTTTATCGGATTTTATCAATTTTATCAATCAGTGAATTTCATCCGAGGTCTCCACTGTATGTTTTCTTTTTTTTACTTCTTTTTTTTTTCTTTTTAGTCTACGATGGTAGTAGTACCTAGGTACTTTATAAATATTTCTCTATCCCGTATTAGATCCACTATATGCAGGAAGATAAAAGAAGAAGAAGAGAAGGTTCTGAGGTTGCTTCATGCACACCTCGATCAACCAGAGCATAGCCATTTATAATTAAGGTCTTACGGCCGATGTCGGGAATGATTGGTTGTACGTATTATGGTATACATACGGAGTACATCTGTAACATGTTCACGTTGTTACCCCTCTTGGCAACGCATTGGACTCGTTTACAGTGGGACTTGCAGGAAAATTCCTCCGGAGTATAGAACCAGTTATTATTTTTGGCTTTTTGTTTTTTTGTGCTTGGGCGTTTGAGGGGAATGATATTATATGAGCCTATTATTGCTACTACTCTACATATTAATCTTGTCAGTTTGTAATATATTATATAGGATCTCATACTACCCTACTCCGTACCTAGGTATATGTAGGCCTACGTCATTCATAACCGGACACTCTCCACTGCCCATTCGGCGGCTGATTCAGCCGAGTAGTGGGGGAATATGGTCTGATCTTTCCAACGTTGTAATAATATAAAATATGGAAGGATTAGTATTATGTATATAAAAATTCGAATAATAGACAGAGTAATACATATTTTGTAGAGTGCATAGGTAATAAGGTAATACCTCCAAGGTAATAAATAATATCGGAAATAATACATTTTCACCCACTTCTCTTTTCCGCGCTTGGCTCGCTGGAGATCATACAGAAATCTCATCTGTATGGATGTGCCCCTCGATTTGCTTTTTTTTTTAAAAAAACCCGAAATCCCCTTTCACCAAAATTGCTGGATGTGGGACTACTTTTTTTTGGCGCGTTTGCCTGCATACGATCTTCTCCAGCCACTCACGTTGCACCTAATTAGATCGACTAAGCAGACTACCTAGGTACTAGGTATATACTTTACCTTGAATATGTATGAGTGAGAGGGGTGAAAAAAGAACAAACCACACAGGTCATGGACCGATTCACTCAGTTTCCCGCCGTCAATGACGATGGTGATGATGTTCACATCGTACCCTGGCAGGTGGATGCCCAACTCCCATCGGAAATATTTGCTTTGTCATGGGCAGTCTTGCTACGCGCATTCACAACAGACGAGAACCCGGTCTTTTTATTGAATGGTGCGCCAGTCAAAGCAGATCTATCTGCCCAAACGGTTCATCCAGCAGATCTGGCTCCCGTATCAGATCTCTCACTTAAACACACAGCCGTGGTGTTGGAAGATCCTTTGTGCAGTGATGTCGGTCATGCCCCGGCGTTGCAGTGGACCCTGGACCCCGCGACTCAGGTGGGAGTCCTGTGTGCGACCGGAGGCATGGACGCCGCTTTCCTGTACCAGCTGGGCAACCAGCTGAAACAAATCGTGCAAGAGCAGGCTGCCCAGAAAGGTATACAGGTGACATTGTCTGCCACGGAGGTTCCTGATCTAGCAATTTCAAACGCCTCACCCTCCACAGTGCCAGGGCCTCAACTTCTACACGAGCTTGCCCTGTGCAAGCTCAACGATTCAAACAACGCCATTGAATTCCTCACTGCGGATGGACATGTTCGTTGCTTGTCGTACCGTGATTTGGACCGGCTTTCCTCGGAGCTGGCGAGTAAAATTGCTCGTGCTTCGACAACTTCACAGGGCCTACAGAGGGTTGTGCCAGTACTTCTGCCTCAGTCTGTGGAATTATACATTTCGTGGCTGGCTATTCTTAAGTCTGGCGCAGCTTTCTGTCCTTTGAATACCGATGCACCAATAGATCGCATTGAGTTTATCCTGCAAGATGTGGCTGCATCTGTGGTGGTCACAAATGATGCTCTTGCAACAAGGGTACCGCCGAAAGAGCATATTTCTATCCTTGCCGTGGACGGTCTTGAAACCAACACCGAAACCACAGAGCCATGCTCAGAAAACAGCACTCCCACTGACCTGGCATATGTCATGTACACATCAGGCTCTACGGGCCGTCCCAAAGGCGTTGGGGTGTCCCATCTTGCTGCCACCCAATCACTCCTTGCTCATGACGATTTGATACCCCATTTCAAGCGCTTTTTACAATTTGCATCTCCCACCTTTGATGTTTCCGTGTTTGAGGTTTTCTTCCCGATGATGCGAGGGTCAACCCTCATCGGCTCCGAGAGAGAGAATATGCTTCTTGATATTTCCCATGTGATGACTACGATGAGAGTCGACGCCGCCGAATTGACCCCAACGGTAGCCGGAGAGTTGCTGCGCGTACGAGCCGCAGCTCCATCTCTCCAGGTGCTCCTCACTATTGGTGAAATGCTTACTAGACATGTGGTAGACGAGTTTGGCAAGTCTGAGGGCAGAGATGGCATTCTCCATGGGATGTACGGGCCTACCGAAGCAGCAATCCACTGTACCGCTGCCACCCATTTCCAGGCCAAGGATCGTGTCAACATGATTGGAAAGCCTTTTAAAACTGTTTCCGCATACATCATGCCACTCCCCTCTGACGATGATCCATCATCCATGCGACTTCACCCCCTTTCACTGGGCCAAGTTGGAGAGCTCGTGGTGGGCGGCCCTCAATTGGCGGACGGGTATATCAATCGACCCGAAGAAAATACCAAGGCATTTATAGACAGTCCGGTGTATGGCCGACTCTATCGCACGGGAGACAAAGCCCGCATACTCCCCACTGGAGAGATTGAGTGTTTCGGCCGAATTTCCAGCGGCCAGGTGAAGCTGCGAGGTCAGCGGATAGAGCTTGGCGAGATCGAGCATGTTATCACGAGAGCTTCCGGTGTCCGCAGTGCTGTAACCATAGTCATCGACGGCAACTTGGTTGCATTTGTTCTGGTCACCGACGAGGTAACGACAGACAGCAGTCTCCGAGACGTCTGTCGTCAGCTGTTGCCTCGGTTCATGATTCCTGGCGAATTCGTACTCGTCGACCAATTCCCCCAACTTCCCTCGGGCAAGATCGACCGTAAGACATTAGAGGCCGATTTCATTCGCCACCGAAGCACCGCTCAGGCTTTTGATGATCAACCCTGCCGAGACGAAAAAGAAGAGTCTATCATCTCAAGCGTCGCTGATGTGCTAGGCCGACGACTCTCGTCGACGGAGAGCCTAGCAGCAGCAGGGCTTGATTCGCTAGCTGCAATCCGTCTCGCGTCCCATCTATTGGATGCGGGAATTCGCTTAGGTGTGGCTGCCCTTTTGGAGGCAGACTCAGTGGACGGGATCTGGCAGCTTGCCACCAGCCTTGAAGTTGCGAGCCCGACTGATGATACACAAGCGGCCCTGCAAACTATTCTGCAACTTGTTTCAGATGCAGGTGCAGCAAGGGTCGACTCACTGGGTTTGAGCGAGCAGGTTTCGGACATCGTACCGTGTAGCCATATCCAACAGGCTATGATCTTGGAGACTGTTCGAGACGACCAGGCATACTGCAACTGGATTGAGCTGGAATTCGAGCCCTCGGTCAATTTAGCTTCAGTGAAAGATGCATTTGCTCAACTGGTGGACCACAACGAGATCCTGCGGTCTGGATTTGTGGAAATCGGCCTCAAAGATCACTCATATGGCCGCTTCACCTGGAATACCGTTGACGAGCATATTTCCGTGAAACAAGAGCTTGACTACGATTTGGGCTTGGGTGCGGGTCACGATGTCTTGAACCCTTTCCGAGTCCAGATCAAAGAAGGGAAGGATCATCTCCGCGTGCTGGTGCATATCCATCATGCACTTTACGATGGATGGTCTTGGCAACTCATGTTGAAGGATCTTAGAAGGATCCTGTCCGGAGAGGAGCTTACTTCTAAACCCCCATACAATGTGGTCGCAAACTTTTTCATTGAGCACAAACTGGACAAATCGGCAACAGAGTCCTCAGCGTACTGGCGTGATCAACTACAGGGTCTTTATCCTACAGCTTTCCCTACTTTCCATGGAAATGCAGATGTCGTACATGCTACTGACAGGGCTACTCGGGTGCTGGATATTTCCGTATCAAAACTCAACGAGGTTTCCCAGCATCTTCGCGTGAGCCGGCAAACCATTTTCCAAGCCGCGTTTTGCTATATCCTTTCTTCCTATCTTGGAACCGGCGACGTTACCTTTGGAACTGTCTTTTCAGGCAGGACTCTGCCCTTAAAGGGCATCGAGACTGTTCTCGGGCCTTGTATTAGAACTTTGCCAACGCGCATGAACCTCGACAAAATGCAAGACGTGACTGATCTCCTCTTGGTCATCCAGAACACGAACCGCAAGTCAATCGAGCATGGCAGTCTTCCTCTTCAGGATATAAAGAAGGCTTCTGGTATCGATTTGAACCGTAGTCTCTTCGATACGGCGTTTGTGTGGCAGGAAAGCATTTGGTCAGATGATGAGCAGGGCTCTGTGTTCCGGGAGGTTGGGGCGGGCGAATTTCTAGAATTTGCGCTTTTGCTGGAGTTTGAGCCACGAGAAGAAAGCATCTTTGCCCGGGTGACTTACCAAAAGTCGCTGTTACCATGCGAGCAAGCTATGGTACTTCTCAAGCAGATTGATTCTGTGGCCTCGATCTTGATCGAGAAGATTAAGCTTCCGCTCCAGGAGATTCGATCATATCTTCCCTCGTCCACGTTGTCTATTCAACAGGCAGCATCATGCGAGCATGTTGATCTGCCAAGTTTGACATCCAGCGTCGAGATGACTGCCTCTACAGACCCTGACCGGGTAGCGGTTGAGTTGATGCTTTGGAAGCCAGAAACTCCCGCTCCATTTGTCGAAAGCATGACCTACAGTCAACTAAACTCCCGAGCCAACGCCTTTGCACACCTTTTGCTCCATGTCGGAGTGACGAAAGACGATCTAATCGCCATCCATCTGACAACGTCCCTTGATTTTTACGTTGCTGTGCTTGGAGTTGCGAAGGCTGGCGCTGGTCTCCTCCTAATTCCCCAGGCCTCTGTGCAGATAATTCATTCTATTCTCTCCACGGCGAAATCCAAGTTCTGCATCGTCGACCACTTGACGGAAACGAATCATCGCTTGGATTCTTCGAAGTCCATCCAGCTGCTTTACCTCTCTTATTCGCTGGATGTTTATCATGAGTTTAATATTCCACATATTAATGAAGGGTCTGATGTTGCCTATGCTGAAGTGACACTTACTGAGAATGATTTTGCCGAGACCATCGTCATCTCGCGCCAAAACCTACAGAGCAATATCAATGCCCTTGCAGACCTGTATCCATCGCCAACCGGGTCAAAAATGCTATCTTGTCTTCAAGGATCAGGTAGTAAGTTTTCCATGAATTTTGATATCTAGATTATCTTTCTAACAAAAACACAGCATCAATTTGCCAGACATTCTTCGCTTGGCACGTTGGCATGACATTGTGCTCAACTACAGACTTAATCATGAGGACTCGCGTCGAGCAAGCTTGTAAAGATATGGAAATAACGCACCTTCACTTGCCTCCCATGCTGGCCTCCCGTATTGATCCACAAGCCGTCCCCAGTGTGCAATACCTCCTCTCTTCGGGCGATGAAATGACTCCCAAACTCCATCGCAATTGGGCCGGCAAAGGTCTTCACCAAGTATACAGCAGCCGCGCACTGGCTCACGCATGTACTCTCTGTCCCAATATGCAAGCAACGACCTATGTTCGAAACATTGGTAGACCCTTGAAGAACATATCTGTCATGATCGTGGCAGATGGAGATTCACTAGCTCCTCTTCCACGTGGCGCCATTGGAGAGTTATGCTTTGGCGGAGATCAAGTTGGGCGCTGTCTATCTGACTCCGAGCCATCAGTGACTGAACGATTCGTTGACCATCCTGAGCTCGGTCGGATCTATAGAACGGGTGACATTGGAAGACTGCTTCCTGATGGTACACTCATTCTTTCCCGAAGTTCTGGCCTTGCACAGTCGTATGGCCTGTCTATTGATCTTGATGAAGTTGATCGCGCTCTCATGTCTTTGGAAATGGTCCACGAATCAGTGAGCATGCTTTTGGACGAACCAACACTGCGCCAGCAGAGATTGGTAGTATTTTGGGTTCCTTCAACGAAATGCTCAGATTCTGTGCAAACAGAGGAAGCTACGAATGATCTTTTCAAGGAGCTCACCAAGAGACTGTCTCCTTCTAGCCTTCCATCGCTTCTCCTTCTCGTGGAAGCGATAGATCTCACTAGGTCTTATAAGACTGACCATTTCATGTTGAGGCAACGGCTGGGACAGCTGACAACAAAAGACCTTACGATATTCTCGCCAAAGCTCAATGCCGATGATACTGGTGATAGTTTCACTGAGCTTGAGAAGACCATCTGTGGCGCGCTATCCGCAGTTACTGGTACCGACCAAAGCAACATCCGCAAGCACGTGTCCTTCTACAGAATGGGCCTGGACTCTCTTTCTGCCATTTCCTTCTCGCGGAAGCTGTATGAGTCTGGATGTGGAAGGATTTCTGTGTCCACAATCCTGCGCCATAGCTCTATTGCTCAGCTTTCAGCTGTCATTCCGGCCACGATCAACGAGCATCAGCGCAGACAGGCTGTGGTGTCCGCGCCACCAACTGTGTTCGATGAAGCCTTCACTCGTCAGGTAGAAGATGAGTTCAAAGCTGCAGCTGTACCAGTTCAGAGCATTTACCCTTGCACTCCACTCCAGGAGGCTATGCTTGCAGCTGAGTCTAGTGGTCATTCAGCTTATTTCAATCACCTCTTGCTTCTTGTGCACACCGATGCCCAGGATATGAGAGCAGCATGGGCTAAGATGATGCAAAGACAAGGCATTCTTAGAACTTGTTTCATGCAAACTCATGATAAGCGGTTTGCATATGTTCAGGTTGTACTGGATACATCGGTCTTACCGTGGTCTCATATTGAAGCTTCCTCTTCTGAACTTGAGAATGTCATCAAGGAGAACAAGTCCAAATTTGAGGGTCTTTCTCCTGTCAACGGCCAGTTGCCTTACTCGCTGACTTTCATAACCGACTCCACTGCGCAGAAGACACATCTTCTGCTGTCCATTCATCATGCATTGTATGACGGAGAAGGTATCGCCCAGTTGTTACAAGAACTCCAGCTGTTGCTTTCAAACCAAGAATTGCCAACAACCGCTCCGTTCCGCAACTTCATCGATTACATGACCTCTGTTGATTATGGCTCGTCGGATGAATACTGGGACCAGTACTTGTCAGGTGTTTCACCGACCCTTCTTTCCACGCCCGAGCCCGTAGCCCATGCAGATGAGTCGGCATCACAGCAGATCCATACATCCCTAAATGGATCTTTCATGTCATTCAAGCAACAATGCAAAGACCTCTCCGTGACGCCTTTGAACATCTTCCACGCTGCGTGGGCCAGACTCCTCGCTCTGTACACTGATTCCTCCGACGTCTGCTTCGGTAATGTCTTCAGCTGCCGAACTGTTCCTTTGGATGGCGTAGATCGGATAGTTGGCCCTTGCTTCAACACACTTCCAATTCGAACCAAGTTCTCCTCGACTGCAACAAATATTGACATCGTTAGCTTGTCCCAAAAGAACAATAACGACATTTTGCCTCACCAACTCAGTCCTCTACGGCGTATTCAACGGCGTGTTCTTGGTGATGGCTCTCGCCTCTTTGACACGCTGGTCATCTTCCAGAACAGAAGCACAGATCTCGACCGCAATGTCTGGGAACTTCTTCAGGACGAAGGAAACATGGGATTCCCCTTAATTTGTGAGATCGTCCCCGACGAGTCAATCGACAGCATCCGTGTCTGCCTCCACTTCCAAGTATCCCATGTCTCGCAAGCTGTGGCTGAGAATATCGCGCGGGACTTTGTGGCCCTTGTTGGACACATCACTCAGTACCCGTCTGCTCAGGCATCCGATAAGTGGCTATTTGAGACAGACATTCCTCGAGTCTTTGAACAGAAGGCGCCCAAAATGACAAAATCTGTTCATTTCCTGACCAAATCTCGGCAAAAGCGCCCATGGTCCTACCAAGAGGAGATTGTTCGCGACCTTCTTTGCAAATTTTCTAATGTCGACTCGGACAATGTGCTCCAGGATACGACGATCTTCCAACTTGGCCTGGATAGTATCAATGCTGTGCAGGTATCAGCGAAGCTGCGTGGGTTAGGGTATAATATCTCATCTGGTGATATTCTCGAGGTATGTCATCATATTCGTGGGGTTTGATTGTCGACCATGAATTCGGTTAATTACTTACTGACTTGTATCAGGCTGCTTCTATTGACCAAATTGCTTCTCTTCTTACTTCCAGCTCCAAGATTGTCGAGGAAATCGAGTTTGACTTCGGACTTTTCCAAACCCATCATTTACAATCTGTCTGCGAACAACTTGAGATTTCTTCGCAAATGGTGCAATCTCTTCGCCCTTGTACGCCAGTCCAGAATGGCATGCTGGCGATGTTCACGAATTCACATGGTGAAGTGTACTTCAACCGAATGGGCTTGAGATTCTCCGTCCCTCTGGACAAGAGGATTTTGAAAGAAGCATGGTCTAAGGTCATGGCTCAGCATGAGATGCTTCGAACAGGCTTCGTGCAATTGCGCGATCAGCAAAATCCTTTTGCTATGATAACTTACCATGAAAACAGCAAACTACCATGGTGCGAGACCACGACCCCCATGGCAGACACCCCTGGTGTTCAAGAAAAGCATGCTTTGGAAAATCTCCACCAACCCCCATGGAGCATTGAAGTAGAGGCAGGTGATAACACCAGTATCATGCAGTTTTCTGCATTGCACGCTATTTACGATGCTCAGTCTCTGGCTACCATATTTGCAGACGTCAGAGCAGCATATGAAGGGAAGGCTCTGTCTATGCCGGTGCCAGTCACCAAGACTCTCGGCCCTATCCTTCTTGAAAGCAAGATCCAGAGCGAATCCGCGCAATACTTCTGGAAGGAACTGGCTCCAGAAGTGCAGCCCTCCAAATTCCCCGACTTGCATCCCATCCGCACAAATGAGCGAACATTACTCACCACCTCCATCTGTTGCGCACAGTCTCGCAAGGCTCTTGAAGATGCCTGTCGAGAGATCGGCGTTACACTACAGGCAGCGGGGCAAACCGCATGGGCCCGCTTGCTCTCTGCATATACAGGCGAGTCCAACGTCACTTTTGGGACTGTGCTTTCTGGTAGAAACTTATCCGCCGCTGCTCAACATGCGGTATTCCCGTGTTTGGTCACAGTGCCAACGCCCCTGCGTATTGAGGGATCCAACCGACAGCTTTTGGATCGTACACTGAAGCGAAACGCTTCATTGGTGAAGAATCAGTTCGCACCTCTGTCACATATCCAGCGTTGGCTAGGTAGCAATGAGCCACTCTTCGATACCCTGTTTGTCTATCAGAAGTTTACTTTGGATGCTGTTGGTACCGATGGATGGGATATCATTGGCGAGGAGACGAATATTGATGTAAGTAGAACAAGCAGACGGAATACTCCGCGGCTTTGCAGGATTTTGACTAACATTATGCAGTATCCTCTTTCTATCGAGTTGATTCCGCACTCGGCAGATCTTCAGATTTCACTGACCTACCGGGGCGATCTTGTCCCCCCGAGCAGGCAACGATTCTCTTGAGTCAGTATGACAAAATTTTGCAGGATACTGTCTTCCGTCCAGATGCCAGTTCCACCGATTACGAGTCTGTGGGTAGTAGTCTGCTATCTATTACTCCTGCGAAAGAAGCCCCAATTCCTACTACGGTGACTTTGCTGCATCAATTCGTCGAAACGAACGCGCTCAGGATCCCCGAGAGGATTGCGTTTGAATTTGCTTTCGGCGACACTGCAGACAATCTCCAGAAGAAGACTTGGACTTACCGCAAGTTCAATGAATGCGGCAATCAAATTGCACATCTCCTGCAGGCAAAGGGAGCTGTTCCTGGTGGAATTGTGGGAATATGCTTTGACAAGTGCCCTGAAGCCTCCATGGCGATTCTGGGTATCATGAAAGCTGGATGTGCATATTTGGCTATTGACCCTGGTGCCCCTATCTCTCGTAAGCAGTTCATGTTAGAGGACTCCGGTACCAAGATCCTGCTCTGCAATCAATTGAAGATGGCCGAACTGGAGGGTCTGCCAGATATTGACATCCAGGCACTTGATGAGCCTGGGCTGTTTGATGGAATCTCAACAGGTGATATCTCACTTTCCCGTTCTATTCAGTCAGATGATACTTGTTATTGTCTGTACACCTCCGGTACAACCGGAACACCGAAAGGCTGCGAGATCACGCACGATAATGCTGTGCAAGCAATGCTGGCATTCCAAAGATTGTTCGCGGGACACTGGGATGGAGAGTCTCGGTGGTTACAATTTGCCTCCTTCCATTTCGACGTCAGTGTTTTGGAACAGTACTGGAGCTGGAGTGTTGGAATTTGCGTCACTTCCTGTCCGCGAGATCTGCTGTTTGAGGATCTCACTGGAACGATACAGAAGCTTCAAATTACGCATATCGACCTGACGCCCAGTCTGGCAAAACTGGTCCATCCCGACGAAGTTCCGTCCCTTTGTCGGGGAGTCTTCATCACCGGCGGAGAGGCTTTAAAACAAGAAATCCTCGATGCCTGGGGCAGACATGGTGTTATTTACAACGGATACGGGCCTACTGAAGTTACTATCGGATGCACCATGCTCCCACGGATGTCTGCCAACGACAAAGCCTCAAACATAGGGCCCCAGTTCGATAATGTAGGGTCTTATGTCTTCAGCCCCGGCACCACGACACCAGTCCTACGCGGCAGCATAGGCGAACTCTGCGTCTCGGGGCCTCTCGTTGGAAAAGGCTATCTGAACCGAGCCGACCTCACCAAAGAACGGTTCCAAGAGCTCCCCGAATTCGGCGATCGCATCTATCGCACAGGTGATCTCGTGAGGATTTTGCACGATGGAAGCTTCCAGTTCCTTGGCCGTATTGATGACCAGGTCAAGCTCCGTGGACAGCGACTCGAAATTGGAGAAATTAACGAGGTCATCAAACGAACAACGCCTGAATTGAACGAAGTCGCTACCCTAGTGATCACACACCCCAAACAGTCGAAGGACCAACTTGTCTCGTTTTTCACGACTGTCACTGCAGATAAGAAATCTCGTGCTGTCGACGTCAGGGTCCGATCATCAGAAGACGACCGCGCCCTACTGTCGAAGATCAAGGGCGCTTGCCGCACTCATCTTCCCGGGTATATGGTGCCTACACATATCATCCCGATGACCCGCTTCCCACTTTCTGCCAATAACAAGGCTGATATGAAAGTCTTGAAGAGTATCTATCAGGAGCTTTCTCTGGAGGATATTCAGAAATTGGGCTCGATGGGTGTTGGCCAGCCTACTGACAGTGTCCAGGAACAGAAGATCATTTCTGTTCTGGCGAAGTTCATTGGTTCTTCTGTGGAGAAGATCTCGTCATGGTCCAGTATATACGAGCTTGGCCTGGATTCTATATCTGTTATTGCGTTCTCGAGATGTCTCCGGGAGGCTGGCTTTTCTCAGGCTCAGCCATCGATCGTGATGAAGTGTAAGTCTGACAATCCAGGTGCTGGCTGAGAATATACTTGACTAACGATGTGTAGACCCTACAATTTCTGGCATGGCTTCGGCTCTACAGGTGTCTATGTCGTCTTCTGTGTCCTGGGATACCCTCCAACGAAATTCCAAGCAACGCATCGAGGCTTTCGCTCACCAGAACTCCCACGCTATCGTCGAGCATATTGGAGCCATCGACGGTGACGTTGAAAGCATTGCGCCCTGCACTCCGCTCCAGGAAGGTATCATATACCACTACCTGTCTAGCAGCACGCCATTGTACTGCTCTTCTTTCACTTTCGAGCTCGACCCTTCGGTCAATCTCGAGGATTTGCGCGCAGCTTGGGGTCAGGCCCAGAGAGACGTTCAAATGCTGCGTGTCAGGTTTTCGCCATCTCCAGATGGCTACGCCCAAGCTGTCATGAAGAAAGAAGCCCTTCCGTGGTTCCTTGCTACCGCCGGCACTAATGAGGAGATTGATGACTTGCGCAAACAACGACACGAACACTGGACCACCCAGCTCGACAGTCTTTCATCGAATCTGTGGGAAGTCGGAGTCATTTCTTCCCCCGAAACATCGGTGATGTGTCTGAACATCTTCCATGCTCTCTATGATGGAAACAGCCTGGTCCTGCTCCTCGAATCGGTTGCCCGAAATTATCTTGGCCAGAGCAAGAGTTCGCAGTCAATCCCGGAGTTCACTGATGTATTGCACTTCGGTCCCCTTTGTAAAGACCCTGCAGCAGAGGCATTCTGGAAAGAGCATCTTGTCGGCTGTCGTGATCGAGCCTTCGCCGAGAACGGCCAAGTAGACAGCTTGCCAATTCTGCTCAAAGTTCAAATGAATGCGACGAACCAGGTTGACTATCTTTGCCGGTCTCTCAATGTCACACAGCAAGCTGTTCTCCATGCCTGCTGGCTTCTCACTCTCCAGGAGCAATACTCGTTCGTGCCACCACTTGGTATCATTGCCTCAGGCAGGACAATCGATATACCAGGCATTAGCGACGTTATAGGGCCACTGTTCAATACGATCCCCAGCAACGTCCAGCTGGATGGCTTGGAGTCTTGGTCTGATATTGCACAGCGCTGCCATGGCTATCATGTGTCCATGATTCCTTTCCAAAACACCGCTCTGCGGGACATTGTGAAATGGCTCGGAAAAAGTCCCGATGAGCGACTCTTCAACTCTTTGTTTGTCTTCCAGAGGGAAGATGATACCCACGAATCGTCCACAAAAGGTCTTTGGCGTACACTCGACTCAGAGGCCCAGCATGAGTACCCTCTGGCCTTTGAAATTGTGCGCAATAGCAAGCAATATCTGACAGTCACCATTGCCGCAAAGAGCCATGTGGTATCGTTGGAGGACGCTCAGCAGATGTTATCTACGTTTGAACAAATACTTTCTCAGTTTGCGCAGGACCCCAACAAAGAGTTGCCCAAGATAAACCGGGTGCCTCTCACACAAGCTGTGACGAATGGCGAAGTCAACGGTCACTACGAGTCTCCTAGAACATTAGAACAAACCAATGGTGAATATACCAATGGCTCTTTGTTTGAATGGACTTCCCAGGCTTCCACAATCCGCAACGTGATTGAAACCCTTGCGGGAGTGGAACCGCAATCCATCAGCGAGAACACGTCAATCTTTGAAGTTGGACTTGATAGCATCGATGCAATCAAAATCTCCTCGCGGTTGAGCAAGGCCGGAATCAAACTTCCCGTGAGCTCCATCATGCGCCATCGTACAGTGAAGGCCATGAGCGAGCAACTCTCAATGACAAATAGCCATACCAAAGATGCGACATTGCCATTACTCAATCAGCTAGAGAAATCGCTGGCCAAGTTTATCGGTGCTGAAGGTCTTCTCCCTCCGAGCGCGACTCGAATCCTACCAGCTACACCCATCCAAGAAGCTATGGTAGCAGAAATGTCTGCCTCTGGTTACAAGCATTACTACAGCCACGAAATCCTCGAGCTTGAGCCAGATGTGGACATTGAAAAGATGGAACGGGCATGGAGAGCTGTCGTTAGGGCCCACCCTATCCTCCGTACTTCGTTCGTTGAAGTCTGGGATCCGCAGATTCCTGTTTCATATGCCCAAATAGTTCACGACGAGGATCATATTGACCTTCAGACTGTCTATTTGCACGGAGTCTCCGTGGAATCCATTATAGAGACTCAGCGTTCAAGGGCACGCAAAGAACTGATAAGCAGCCCTTTGCTATCTATCGCCATTGCAGTGGATGGAGCTAGACGGTACGTTGTTTTGTCAATTGCACATGCTCTTTATGATGGCTGGTCGATCAACCTACTTCATGAAGATATCGCAAGGTCTTATGCTGGTGCAGAGTGCTCCCGCCCGCCGGCTGATGACATTCTCGAGCAAATTATTTCCTCGTCTGGCCAGGAAGCACTCAGGTTCTGGCGAGCAACGCTATCTAACTTCGCTCCGGTATCTTTCTCGTCTATGGAGCATGCTGACAAAGCGTCGGCCGTCGTTCACCGAGCAGAACAATCGTTATCTGTGCCACTGTCCAAAGCGGAGGCGTTCTGCAAACGCCATGGCATTACTCTCCAGGCACTTCTCGTCGGCTGTTGGTCTCTTGTCCTTGCCACGCATGTCAAGAAGCTAGACGTTGCATTTGGGCTTGTCCTTTCTGGTCGGAACGTGGCTGACTCTGAGCATGTGATGTTCCCGACCATGAACACTGTCGCCATGCGAGTTATTCTCCATGGGACGCGCGTAGAATTGGTGAAGTATGTACAGGAGGCTCTCCTAGCCATGTCTGAACATCAGCATTTCCCACTTCGGCGCGCCAGACCAGATACGGGATCGCGGGCGTTGTTTGATACGCTTTTCATGTATCAGAAGAGGCCGGTAGAAAATGTCCAGGCCCAGCCTGGCCAGGTTCTGTATAAATCTATTGGTGGAGCAGCCGATGTTGAATACCCTGTTTGTGCTGAAGTTGAAGGCGTCGGGGAGGATTTGGTTGGACGAGTTGCTTGTCGTGGGAATGTTGTTGGAGATCAAGATACACTTGCGCTCTTGGGGCAGATGGGCGATATACTTTCGTCTATCATTGATGATCCATCTGAACAGACTGTCGAATTTACCAGCGAAGGAGTGAAGGTTTGTGGAAGCGCGGCTTTCCAGGATGAGTTTGGACAAGATATCAAGACTGACGCAGAGCCCCGGGCGCTCAGTCACGCACAATGGTTGCCCATCGAGTCAAAGATCCGCGAGGTTCTTTCCATTACATCGGGAGTACCTGAGAGCTCCATTGACAAGAGCTCCACAATCTTCGAGCTTGGTCTGGACAGCATCAGCGCCATCAAGGTGGCTGCGCTTCTGAAGAAACAGTCCGTCAAGCTCGCGGTCAGTGACATGCTTCGGGCTGGTACCATCGAGAACATGGCCAAGGCAGCCAACAGCAACCAGACGGAGTTCTCACTCACAAATATATCGAGCATTCTCCACGAATCACTCAATGGTACTAATGTGGCGGAACTTCTACAGTCGCATGGTATTGATTCACAACGGGTGCGAAAGGTGTTCCCCGCAACTGCAGGACAGGTCTATTTCCTTCTCAATGCACGCCGTGAATCCCCAGGTATTCTACCCTGAGTTCTACTATGTGGCATCACGGAAATTGAGCCCTGAAGTACTTGATCGGGCCTGGGATCGGGTCATAGACCAAACCCCAATGCTTCGAACAGCATTCGTTCCCACTTCTGGCTCTCCACTATTGCCCTATATGCAGATCGAGTTTGAGGCTGTGAACATCCCTGTGATCTGGCATTCCAAGTTTGATCGGCATCTTGTTTCAAGAAGTCTCAAGCAAGAATTCGGGGCAGTGCCGGTCGCACTGCATGCCTGTCAAACGAACAAGGGAACGGCCCTTATTCTGCGAATCCACCATGCACTGTACGACGCTGTCAGTCTACCCCATATCTTAGACAGACTTGTTACACACTGCAGTCAAGAGGTTGCCAAGCCAAACCCCGACCTTGAACTCTCACAGCTCGTGGCATTCCAGCATATTCATTCGCCCGTGGATGTCCGGCGGCAATTCTGGCAAAAGTATCTAGGCCAAATGCCAACAGCGGTAAAACGAGGGGATGGCTTCGGCTCTGTGCAACATCACTACCGACCGGGTCTGGTTTTAAATATGACCAGTGTCGAAAAGGTTGCTAAGCGCCAGGGCCTGAGCATTCAGACCGTCTTTTTGGCTGTCTATGCTCGAGTGCATTTGCAGGAATTGGGTGCAGCTGAAACCATAGATGACGCAGGGTCTCGCAGGCGGTTAACAGTCGGACTGTACCTTGCCAATCGATCTTATTCCATCGAGGGTCTCGCCGAGTCGGTGATTCCCACCGTTAACATTGTTCCACTACGACTGGATGACAAACTCAGCGATTCCAACGACACCCTCCTTGACGCCGCCCGCAGAATCCAAACTGAGATCAACGAGATCAGCCGACCAGAATACTCGGGTGTGTCTCTCCTGGAAATTGCCGAATGGACGGGCGTCCGAATCGACACCTGCGTCAATTTCCTGCGACTCCCTGAGCAAGAATTGAAAGCACCCAGCAACGGTGACCAAGTAAAGTTTGCTCTCACAGCAATTCAACGCGAGGAGTTTGAAGATCTTAGCGGGGCCGCCCCAGTTTCGGAAAAAGACTCAATTCCGATTAATGGCAATGGTGTGGCGCCACCAGGTGCAGCCGAGACGAGCCCGGGCCTCGAACATCCAAGCGTCTCAGCGGCTACTCAAAACATCTTCCTGGTAAGTGGGCGAATGCACATCACTTCTGCATGTTAACTAGGTGATCGAGCCTTATGCAATTGCTTACATTTTCAACAGCCTATGATCGACGTGGAAGCCGCCATCCGTAATGGTCGGTTAGACTTTGGGCTCTTCGCACCGGAATCCCGTCTGGACCGAGACACAGCGGAGAGGGTGATCGGCGCTATGCGGCGGGAGATGTCTGCATTGGTGACAGGTTTCGAATCGATATAGAATGTCTAGTGATGCTAGGGATGGAAGAGAGGGGAGGGGGAAGTGTATCCGGGGTGATTGTATGGAGATTGGAGTATGGAGTACGGAATATCATAGATTAGGATTTCTTTTCTTTTGTTCATGTGGATATTTTGCAATTTTGTTTTCTGCTATTTTTTGCTATTCTCGCTATTCTCTACTATTGCTGATCATACTCGGTGCATATGAGGCGTTGGATGTGTATCGTTCTTTCCCGAGTTATCGAAAGCCATGTGATTTGACGAGTGACGGCGGGACCCACGGACGGGACGGGCCCGTTGGATCTTTTGGAACTGCAGGATGTTGTAGATAGAAGATGGAAGATATAAGGGCATTGTGTTATATGCATTGTAGCATAAAACAAACTACTTTATATTGTATATGGTTATAGGTACACTATAAACCAGGCTTTTCTTTTCTTTTAATACAAGATACTCGTTTGGCGCCAATCAGTAGCTTTCTCTCATTCCTCCGAGAATACTGATGAATCGGATGAATCAGATGTGGACTTAAGAGGCAGTGCGAGTGGGCTCATGGTGGCACTTAAGCAAGGGGGATTTCGCGTGGCCTATCGCCAGTTCCTTCTTTTCTTTTTTTCTTTTTTTGCATTTCCTCTTTTTCAATTTTTATTCTTCTAAGGTACGTATGTAGCACAAGGAATTAAAAATAATAATCACATTGTACCTTGAATTTCTTTTTTAAAAAAAAAGAAATGAAAAAAACAGAACTGGGGTATTTGGTAAAAGTACGAGTACCCCTCCCTTTGTTTATTGGAGTGGCGTTGGGGGTCCGTGCGAGTGGAAGACGCGCAGTTTTTCTCAACTCCGTGTAGTTTCTTTTGTTTACTTTTATTTCTTGTGAAGAGTGAAATTATTTTAAGTTGAATTTGAATTAGATATTTCTTTTTACATATAGATCCTGAAACTAAAGGGTAATATTCAGGGTAATATCCATTATATTTTGCTTATTTTATATACTATTTATTGCTTACCTAATATTTGTTTATGTCACAATCACGCGTCACCCTAATCCACATCGGGCATCGAACGATCAACAACGCGACTGCGCGTTAATCGGTTTGGACTTTATTTCTATAACCTCAACACCTGAACACTCGAGCACTTGAACACGAACATTTAAACATTTGAACATTTTCTTTTTTTTTTAAAACATTCTTAATATCCCCCAAGTTTCAAACCAACTCTCGATCCCCGGTCCTCGGACACGGTCACATACCAATACCCAACCCCTCCTCGATTCCGCCCTTTCGCCCTCGTGGGCTGACCTCACCTTTTGTATTGGGGGACCTACCCCTTGCAACAACCTTTTTTTTTCCTTTGGAAGGAAAAGATTCCGACACCCTTGACACTACCTTTACAAGAAGTGTAAACCAAAAAGTGAAACATTCCACACCTATCGCGCAACTCTTGTCTTGTATCAAACTCCATCAAAGTGAAACAGCGCAGACAAGCACGCGTTGTGTTTGTCCAGGAGAAGTTGAATTCCCTTGGGAGTCCGCAATGGAAGTGGTGTGAGTCAGTTTTGAACTTGCCAGTCGCACCTGCCAACATTTGGGAAACATTCCATTCGTGCCTTCCTTTGAAATCGGATATCACATATCAAATATCTTTGATATCCTTGGCTTCCTCTCTTGCCCTTTCTGGACGCGTTGTTGATTTGAACGCGTCAACAATTGGAAACCCTTGGGAAGCTCTCTAAACCTTTGTCGAATTTCCTCGGGGGTATCTAGATCTCCTCTTAAGATATCCAGAGCGCATTTAGTTGTGACGCGCTCTTCATTCTGGACTTGCGCGGTACGTTTTGACACATTCCCGCGATGGTTGCGACCTTTTCGCCGCACCGGGACTCCGGTGGCACACTTCATCTGCCATCGCACTCGGGAATCCATCACGTTGACGCCAGCTCTGCTATCCGCCAACTGAGACGCTCACTTTCGCGCTCCCCCTCCAAGAGCTCCAACTTCTTCCTCAACCCACGTACTCATTCCCCTTCTAAATCTGCCTACATCTCTTCTCCCTTGTCGCCCTCACGGCGCGCTTCACAGAACAATTTTGTTCTCTTCCCATCTCACCAATCTCATCAGTCGCCTCTCGCTGTGCCTTACCCTCCCAGCGCGAAGATTAGTAGGCCGGCTATGCGTCGACGCACATCACCCCGCAGTCCGGCCAAACGCGCTTTGAGTGTTTCGACTGATAGTGGTAACGCGACTCCAACCCAACCCGCCTCTGTCCCCTCTGGTGAAGAAAATGACTTGACTCTCGACGACCTTGTCGCGCCAAAGCAAAGTACTACCCCAGACAGTCCTCGTTTTATTAACACTCCTTCTGCCCCTTTGGGCGAATCGACTTTTGCGCCGCGACCAACGTTGTCGCGCATTGAAAAGCGACGTAGCGGGACCTTTGGTAGCTTTGCGACTGGCAGTCCCTTGAAGCGCAGCGACGGGATTATGAACTTGGACCAAGCATCGCGAGGCAGTCCTTCTGCAAAGCGACGCAGCGTGCACACTCCCAACTGCTCAGCCGAATTTAGCATTTTCGACAACGAAGTTGAGAATACGACTCCAGAGGGCTCTCCGACGCGCAACGAAATTCCCTCGTTCCCCACGCCTGTCCAGCCACATAGTCCATTTGCGACAATTCCTAAGCGCTCATCTTCTCTACGACGCTCGACCCTACAGCAGCGCGGCGATCGACCGCTCTTTGGGCGACCCAGGGCCGTGGATGGTTCAACCGACGCATCACCACCTGAGACGCCATTGTCTGTTAGGCCGCGAATGTCGTTTGATAGCAGCCTATTCCAGCCAGGCAGCGAAAACATTTTCTCTCCTAGGCCTCCAGCCAGCCCTCTTTTCTCCAACTCCCCCGCCAATCCTCCCGCCAACCCCACCGTCAACACTACTCAACCCGCTCGGCCTACTGCTCATCCTCTCTCTCGTACTATTACTCAGTCCTCTTCTGGGTCTAGTATTGAGGATTCCCCCACCCATGAACCAGTTCACAAGCCCGAGGGCCGGCGACCAATGTTCAACTTCTCCAAGTCTCTGCCCGCCGGGGCTACTCGTCCTGCCCCCGTGAGTCGGATCGCACGAGAAGATACAGCAGAGACGTTTGCTACCCCGGATAACTTCAGGCTAGTGAAGCCTCTACCCGCGGCATTCATGTCCACTGGTCTTATCTCAAAGAAAAACCGCAATGCGGAGGAGAATCCCGGATTTAACAAGAGCATGCCCGACACACCATGCAAGCGACCCGTCAACCTTTTCACCGCGGGCCCAAACCCCACGGACCGATTGTTTGACAAGTCACGTCTGGTTCATCAATCAGATGCCGTTTCCGCCTCTCCGTTTAACCCACCTACTACCTCGCGCCCCAAGCCAAGTCCCTTCGCTCGAGGCATGGGAATCTTCGGTAGCAGCTTTAATCGGCCCGAGGCTTCGCGGCGTGGAAGTTTCGCTAGCATTGATGGAGATGAACTGATCCTCGCCCAATCGCCCTCTTCCCGATATGACAGCCAGCCTCTAAATGACGACTTTCCTCCCACACCCACTAAACAGCCATTCCTCCCCTCTCGCACCTACCCTCCCGCCACTTCTCAAATCGCATCTCTGGAACGACTATCCGAGACAGCGAGTCCGCTGCACGAGAAGTTTCTGCAGGCGTCTCCTCACACTCCCCGCGACCACTACTTCCCTCCCGACCCGAGTGGCTTATCGATCTCTGTGCCAAGTGATCATCAATATGTGCAAGAGCATGATCTTCCAGCCACTCCAACTGGACCGCGAGACTCTTGGTCATCATTCCGACGGCCCAGTCTCCAAATCAGCGGCTACCATGTTCCTGATGTGGACCCGACTCTGACATCCCGCTTTGAGAATGTGGAGCTTATTGGAACTGGCGAGTTCTCTCAGGTATTCCGTGTCGCGCAGCCTCATGACGCATCCTTCCCATCTGTCTTCTCTCTTCCGTCAAGCGAACCAAAATCGCCGACCTCCCTCCCTCATCGGGTGTGGGCTGTGAAGAAGAGCAAGCAGCCTTATCTGGGGTTGAAGGATCGTGAGCGCCGTATTCGCGAAGTCGACGTTCTCAAGGCTTTGACCAAATGTGACCATGTTATCTCCTTCATGGACAGCTGGGAGAACAATGGTCATTTGTACATTCAAACGGAGTTCTGTGAAGAGGGTAGCCTGGATGGCTTCTTGGCCCAAGCCGGACTTAAGGCCCGACTTGATGACTTCCGTATCTGGAAGATTCTGCTCGAAATGTCTCTGGGGCTAAAGCAGATCCACGACGAGGGATTCATACATCTGGACCTGAAGCCTGCTAATATTCTGGTCACCTTTGAGGGTACTTTGAAGATTGGTGACTTTGGCATGGCGACCCGATGGCCTGCGGAGGATGGTATTGAGGGCGAAGGGGACCGCGAATACATTGGACCAGAGATTCTTATGGGCCGATTCGACAAACCCGCCGATATTTTCTCACTTGGTCTCATCATTTTTGAGATCGCCGGCAATGTGGAACTTCCCGACAATGGAGTATCTTGGCAGAAGCTCCGCAACGGCGATATGAGCGATGTGCCCAGCCTTACCTGGAGCTCGGAGACCAGCATCTTCCGCGATGCCACTGGAAACCCTATCTCTGAAGGGTCGTCTTTCGAGGACCTTTGTACATCCGATCTGGGTGACAACGAATTCGGCGATGATTTCCTGACAAGTCGTCAGCTGAGCAACCCCAAACCACAACGACTCGCACGAAGCGGGGAGTTGATTGATCCACCCAGCTTTATGGTCGATGCCAACCACCCACAGGCATTGGACGGCATTGTTCGATGGATGATCTCCCCCCGAACCTCAGAACCGTCCCACGGCCGACCAGATCCTGGAAACTTATGGAGTGCAATTTATTAACCAACGACGCCGCGCCGGCGCCACCGTCTTCGAGGGTAACTGGGGCCCCGCTGAC